GTCTGATTTTTCTGGATCTTGGGAAAACAGAGCGTGGTTTCGTTTTTCGTAATTTGTCCGCAAGACGCTGAATTATCTTACCGAACATGTTCTGCCCGGTGTCCCGGACCAAGCCTCTGGATCAGTGTGAGCTGTTTTCAAGAAATCCAAACCAGTACCCCAGTGTAGATCGTAAACAGAATGGGAAAACACTGTATCCGGTCTGGAGGATGTAAGCAGATCTTTCATATCTTGGAGTTGGTCGATCTTTGCGCACAAGATTTGCTCCATGACTTCGTCATCATCGTTTTTCCATTGCGGAGTACTGGTAACGGTATTGCCGATTAATTTGCATTGTAGAGCTGACTTTGCATCACAAATCCTTTCAGCAGCAGCAAGGTTTCCGGTGCGGACGGCTTTGGTGAGTTGATATGCCTGCTCTGCGGATTTGAATTTTTCCCCAAACACTTCTAGATCACAGGGATAGAAATTTGATAGGACATTTTGTCTCCTTGTATATTCACAACATTCTTTTGATTTTCAACAAATTTGGGACAAATTTCTGAGCCCGGTTCATGTCCTGCCGTTTTACAAGCAGCTCGTTGTTTTTTTTTTGTTTTTTTTTTGTTCGGGCATGATGGTCGCTCTCCCAGCACTTTGTACAGGCTAGTGGGTTTCTCGGATTCTTGCCCACGATGTAGAATTTTACATTTTAGCCCAGCACAATCGTGGGAGTGGATTGCACATAAGTGGCTCGACATAGATGAAGCGATTGCCATTTAAGGACATACGCAACGTACCTTACCTAATGATAATTTTTCAAGATATTCTTAATTTAAGATTATAATGCCATCAGATGTTCGTGCACAAAAAAAATCAGCATGCATTACCAGGTGTTTTGAAAACATATCAATTGAAGAAAATTCTTGTATAATTCAAAGAAAAATATACAAAAATTACTAAACATATATTCTAGATGTTTTGTTTATCCAAACTTATTTTAGAAGAAGTGTGTAACAGCATATATAGACATTAAAATGTAGCACACCGTGAGTTCCTTTAAGTATCGGAACTCTTCAACTCCAGGGAAAAAGGCAATAAAGTTCAAACTATGTTGCGTATGTCCTTAAAACACTTGTCATTTTATTATTGGAGGGGTTTCTGATTTTCTCGTACTTCAATACACTTTTTGGACGTGCACCTAATTTTGTCAACATTTCTAGTATTGCACTGTCGTCCACTGACAATAGAACACCGCAAATTGTAACTTTTAGGGCGTCATCACTGGGGTTCTCAACACCAGCGGAGTATGGGTTTGTGTCATACACATCAAAAGCCATCAAGTAAAACAGAATCCCTGTTTTGCTTGTCATTAAAATAGATTCTCCACAAATTTCTGTCAAGCTGAATGCATTTTATCGCGTCTGCACATACATTGTGGCTGACGGCATCCAGATGATCAAAATTGGTTACCCGCTCGTAATCTTTTTTTGGTAGATCACTGTCTTTTATGTAAACGGGTTTTAACATTTCTGCCATTTTGTAATATAAATGAAAACAAACAAATCTGTTCAAAGTTGAACGCAGTCACAGGTAAGAATCTATATACACTATATACACAAAAGATATTCACAATAACCGATAAATGAGTAGGACTAGTACGTACTCAATGTTCAGCACAGATTTAAATTATTCTCAATTTAATCCATAAATCACCACAAAACTCACACACACACACAAATGCATCCAGATCACACCGAATCCCTTTCTTTCAAAAATTCGGTTAAATTTTGGATACACAGATCGCAAATAATGCAAATGGTCAAAATGACTGAGAGCAGTGAAAACACGTCCACTCTGCTCAGTGCCCCGTGACCTTTTTTTGGTAGTTTTTCTTGATTGTTAAAATGAGTATTTCTTCACTAACAGAATTGTCAAATTTATAACTATGTGATCTTTTTCCAGAAGACCGAAAATAACAGTTTTGACATTAAATTCATTTCTTATACCATACTTTTGGAAAATCAAATCTGACAATGCAAACCAAATTAAAGAGTTCTGTGGACATTAAAAAAAATATGCCTAAATGATTCTGTTTCTAATTTGCATATAAAGCAAATTGGGATTTTTTTTTAATTAAAGACAAGTACAAGGTATATGTATTTATTAGTACATAATTTTCTCTGGATAATTCTATAATTGAACTTATCAGTCTTGGATCTTTTGTTATGGATTTAAAGTTTGTCTAAACCTGTTTCAAGTTAAAACATGGCCAAGACGTCTCTATATGAGTGGAAAATTCTCAAATGGGACGTAAAACAACATACAATCAATCAATAAACATGGCCGAAACTTTAGATCAGTAGCCCGTTTGTTTTCACATATAGGTCTGAGAAATATTTTTGACATTAACTAATCATAAATATTGTTGGATTTTCTTTCTTATTATAGAGTATTTTGATGAATTCAGGTTGGTATGGTTTGACATAAGTATTAAATGACAATTGTTTGACATTTGGCCATGAACACAAAATTGTCTGTTTCGGACCCTCATATATGGTAAATGGTCACTTAACTAGATAATCATCTGTGATACATGTACTTTTATAATTAAAAAAATTAACTTCTGTATTAAATAAGTCATATACTATGTGGAATCCTTTACCAAACAGTGTCTTACAAAAAACGTATAACAGTGCGACATTTAACTCCGGACACGACATTTGTCCGGACTTTCGCCAACCACTTTTCCAAAGATATGTGGAAACCATTTATGTCATCTGATGGGATTTTTTAAAACTTAACACATGAACCAAAATTTACACCTGATTATCTTCTAGGTAAAAAGATATTACACCTGAAACCAAGAAATCCCATGGGATAATGGTGGGATTTTTTCTCCTAACCAATATCCCACCATTATTCTGTGGGAGAAAAAGGTATTCTGTGGGCATTCTGTCAGCATGCACCTTGTTTTGGACACCCCATAACACATAAAATAAGAGGTCCAGGCCACAGTTAGTTAATGCTCACTGTTAATACCCACGCGGATGCAAATAGCAGAATGATATTGGGTACATGTATTAAACTTTTACCTCAGCAATATACGTGTAATTTAAATAAGATGTTAGATCCGCATGTATACTCGCTAAACTGACTGTAGTGACTATGTGAGCGGATCTAACATCTAATTTTAACTAGATTGGTACTTAAGTGGCTTAAATTTATTCAACTTCTTTCAGGAAGATTTTCAATTTTCTTGTCATAAATGCATATTGTCAATTATTATGCTTCCTGTCAGTTTGTCTCTACATAACCCATACCCTACTATTCTTGCATAGTGTTCTAAGGATTTAAATAGCATAAGCATACTATGCCGAAATAGTGCACGACTTCATTTTCTGAAGAAAAACTGACTGCGCCCACGCCTGGGAGCTAACTCACGACCCCGAGATTGTCAGTCCGACGCGCTACCGATTACAACACAGACGCCGTTATAAATATCAATGTACTATAATATATATAAACTTAGTTTCAAATATTTTACACTTAAGTAGCTGCAGAACTGTAGCTCTCCGAAAAAATATATGTTGACAGACCGGAGAGCTACAGTGCCACCCATTGAAAAAACTGTATATTTATTGCGCACAAAAAAGTGCGCTCGGTTCTGAATTAATTCTTCGAAATTCTTACCTCAATTGAAAAAAAAGCTACATTTCAAAAAAGTCCTTACTCCTCTATAACTTTCGTAGTTTACACTTGTACTAAGTGCGTTGGACCGAATTCTCGTGAAGACCAAAATGGCAGTATAAATAGGCAAAATTTTCAATTATTTCAATTTCAGGGTCAGGAGGGCTGTTAAAAACAATTATAAGGAATGTTTTATTGTGGAACCAGTGAAAGAATATGTTAGAAACACACGATTAGTAATATTTTGAGATGACAGTTTTAAAAACACTGAGAAATAAATCGAGAAACAGCGCACGAAAAGTGCACAATAAATATACAGTTTTTTCTATGGGTGGCACTGTAGCTCTCCCATCTGTCAATATATATTTTTTCAGAGAGCTACAGTTCTGCAGCTAACACTTAAGATGAAAAATAAACAAAATAATTCTTCTAAAATAGTTTCTTGCAATTGCCCCCTTCACTCAACTACTATTCTCTAAAACTATCTGTACATTATACCTAAAGCATGGAACGTTCAACATTAAAGAAAAAGATTATGATGCACATGTTGCACAAGGTGACGTTATAATAGGGAAGACAAATGTAAGAGGTGATGAAACATTGGGAACTGAGAAAATATTGCTGTTTTTATACAGTAACAACTGTCAGCATAATAATATTAAACAATAGAGTTGTATTTTGCATGCACTATTATGCCTATTATAGTAGTCAGGGTTTGACACATAGTGCACTCGCCTCCGGCTTGTGCACCATGTGTCAAACCCTGACTACTTTTTAAGAGTAGTGCATGCAAAATACAACACTATTATATAAATATGCACACTTCATGAGTTCCCTAGAAATGTCATAATTTGTTTATTTTTCATCTTAAGTGCACACTAGGGACACATATCTTCATTTTACATTTAAGGACATACGCAAGATACCTTACCTACTGATAATTTTTCAAGATATTCTTTTAAACTTATAATACATGTACCATATAACATATTTTTAGACAAAAAATCAGCATGCATTTCCAGGGATTTTGAAAAGATATCAAAGTTTGAAAAATTTTGCATTATTCAAAGAAAAATGTACAAAAATTACAAAACATAAATTCTAGATTTTTTATAAAAAAAAATTGTTTTAGAAGAGATTTACAAATCCATATATAGACAATAAAAATATTGCACACAGGTCCTTCATTTAGTGGAACTCTTCAACTCCAGGAAAGAACCCAATAAAGTGCAAACTACGTTGCGTATGACCTTAAATGCCCATTTATATAAGAGAAAAATAAATTAAAGAACTTGTTCTAATTAAAATTAAAAAAAATCCTTATTTAAGCCTTTAAGTTTAATTTTTAATTAAGAAATTTGACAGATGAATAAAAAGAGTAATATACAATATAATACTTCTTAAATTAATTCTCTTGGTTCCATTCATTAGATATTCAATATTCGAGTCAACACTCTATACATGAATGAATTATCAAAAGTTTTGTCCTTAAAGTTTTCAATGGATCCACAGATCATGAGGTGATGTCTCCTTTTATGTGTATGTATCTGTGTACACTGAAAAAAAAAGAAAGTCGCTGTGTGATGAAAAGGATAAACCAGAAGTCTCTGATGAGACTGTAGCTCTACTGGTCTATATGTATAACAAAGAAAAAGTAACACTTGGATTTGAAACTTTGCAACAGACAGCAATAAATAGAATTATGTATCTAATTGTAGTCTACTTGTGTGCCACATTATATTGAAATCATACCAAAATTGTAGGTGGAGTAGCGTTTTAAAGGAATTTTACAGAAATTTCTATTTTTAGTAACCATGGCAGCACCGTTCATTGAAATGTACCTTAGTGCAGTCTACTTGTGTGCCAAGTTATATTGAAATCAGAATAAAACTGTAGGAGGAGTAGCGTTTTGAAAAATTACAGACAGATGGACAGCTAGACAGACAGACAAATAGACGCCATGGACAGACAGACAGACGGACAGCTAGACGGACGGACGAGGGACACCTTCCTATCCCATAAGCTCTTCTGGTCTCTGACCAGTAGAGCTAAAAAAAAAATATCAAATTTGATTTTTTTTCAATGTTAAAGAAATAAAACTGCAAAATTAAATTGTAAATGGTTGGTTGCGTACTAATTATTCAAAGTAGTTTTTGTTGTATGGTTTGAAAAATTTTATTATTCATTCTCTCTATTTTCACAAAGAATTACCTTTGCATTTCTTGTATCAACAAGGGGGACAAATCTTCAAGTGGTACATGTACACTATATGTCAGCTACTATACCTTCATTTTCTGTTAAAGAAAAAAATAGAATAAATCATACAATACCAATTACATGTATAATAACAAAGCATGGATTAAATTTTTCACTAAAATTAGAAAATGAATTGAATATCGATCACTCAAATTTCTCGATCCAGCCAAAATGACTGACACTAAAATTTACCCCTACAGAGATCGAAGTATAAAAGTGTAAATTATTCTTATCTATCAATATACCATAAATGAAACTTTGTGCATGTTCTGCATACATTTACCGGTATCTGTATTATAGTAGTTTTATGCCCTTGAGAATTTTTCATGATGTCAGGACATGATATTTCCATGTCTGTTTCTTTTTTCTCTGTGGTAACTCTTTGAAAGTTAGCGGAGTTGATTTCTTGATAATTCTATCGGAATGTAAATTAGGCGGGTCGATAGGTCAGGAGCTAAGAAGGCCTAATATGCATGAAAATCTTGTGCGCACCTGTCTCTGTGTCTGACGCTAAGGAGGCTAAATATGCATGTAAATCTCGTGCGACTACCTTTGTGTTTGACGTCAGTGGGCGAGGACTATTGAAATTGGCATGGGAGTCCTTGTGTAATTTAAATCTATGTCTACATTAACATTGCAGGTTATCCTGCAACATTCACGAGAATGCGGTCTTTATTTCTTAAACATCCAATATCCTATCAATTCTAATAAAAAATCATATTATTAGTAATAAAGCTAGAACTTTTTTTTATTTCATTTCCAATTAATAGAAAAAATATGTTTACTTAAGAAATAAGGTATCATTTAAAAAGTTTTATCGGGATGTAAATACGGGTTGGTCATGTGATCAAATCCTATAAAGCCCGAAGGGCTTTATGGTAGATTTGATCACATGCCAACCCGTATTTACATCCCGATAAAACTTTTAAAATGATACCTTATTACTTATATTTACATTTGTGACTGATTTATTACAAATAGTAAGGTACTAAACTTTTAAACATATAAATGACTTATTTTTTTTTCAAAACTCAACGATATAACTTGAATGTGTTGAACACGTCTATCACTTATGACGTCACTATGAAATTACGTGGATCGTTTATGACTAAGCAATCAATTTATGGTCACATGACGAACGTGTTTTACACAGGTGTAAAAACGCCTTGTTCAAATAGTGTTATGTAAGGAAAAACATTTGCAAATGTAAATATAAATAAATATGTAAAATAAAAAAAGTCCTAGCATTTTTGTCTTTTATAATTACTTACACATAAGCATCTACATGATGTATATTTTTTTCCCCTCAAAAGAACATGGACATAATTAATAATGATATTCCTAAGTATGTATTCATGGTATAAAAAATGAGTTTAGCAGTATAAAGATTGATTTTTCACTCAAAGTTTTAAGACTGTTTTTCAGAGATTAAAAAAAAAAAAACATTGATTATATCAATAATCATGTGGGTACACGTCCTATGTAAACTTCAGAGGATCAACCAATTTTCTAACAGAGAATTAGTAATTTGATATTTGGATACTTCCAAACAATATAAGTAGGAGTTCTGGGGGTTATTAATTATGTCCATCATGACATGTACTATAAGCACTGACCCCCCATATCTCAAAATTTATCTTGACAGCAAAAAAACAAAAACAAAAACAAAAACAAAAAATTAGTACTTGCAACACATGCAATGTTTGTTAACCCCTAGTACACTACAGTAGTAGGATACTTTTAACCATGTCTGAGAGAAGATAATTTTCTAATCAGTAATGCTGATGACTGTGATCAAGATACTTATGAATTGTAACTTGCAAATTACAGACAAATTTAGACATGATTTTTTATTATATTATCATACCACTTTGGCTTACACTATGTATGAAAATTGTTAAAGTTAAAGCTTTCTAAAAAATTCAGTAAAATAGAGTTATTAAGTAGAAAAGTAGAGCCCTTTGTTTACAATATTCAGACCAACATTACATATATAGCTTGATAATAACACATCCAGTAATTTCAAAAAAAAATATTCAACCAGTTTGAATTAATTGTAAAAATTCTCCAAGTAAGCTTTAGGGATTTAATAAACGTTTCTATATTGGTCATTCTTCATCCACCCATTTTGAGATCCAATTGTAGTGTTTTTCGAGAAATTTTATTAAAGGATAATTCTCTATAAGGTCATTTTCCGGCCTACGATAAAATCACTTAAAAATGTTATTTTATGTATTTTTAATTATTCTTTTTTTTTTTGATTTTGATGTTTGTTTTTCAACATCAATCACCTTAGTCATGTGAAGTCGAGATCACAAATGACGGTCAAATAAAGAAAATTTTAGGGTAGGTCTACTTATATCAAGTTTCTTTGCACGTCTTTGAATGTAAATAATCAAAAAATTGTTAATTTTATGTCGGAAACGATTCAACCTTAAGTCATAAATTCAAGGATTGTTTCATTTAAGAATTCAGATACTTTATAATGACGTGAATTTCGATGCATTCACATTTTTCATATTTTAAGTGTAAATCTTTACAAAATAAACACTGTATGATGTTGAAAAATGTTTAATTTTCATTCAATTGAAAGTGTAAATTGTAACTGTGTATTGTTTTTATAGACGTGCTGCCTATTTTACACATAAAATGCGGTTTCTAAGTATCTTTTAAACTATTAAAGTTGTATATCAATTGAGGAAAACACCGAAGGGATTTTTGTTTATAATTGAACAAAGATTAAGTTGTAATTAATAAAATAAATTCTAAATTTTACAAAATTAATTCATTAACGTACAGAATGAAAGTATTAATGTAATTATATGTTGACTAATAATATGAGTAGCTGGTATATAAAACTCAGAATTGTTGTTTTTAAAAAAAATATATACTGGGACGTAAAATGAAATAATTATCATGATAACATCGTTGGAATAGCTTTGATTTCATTTATTGCGCATGTAAAACAATAAATTTAATTAAAAATTCTATCTAAACTATAATACACAAATGCACCCCCCTTTTTTTAACGGCACTCCATAAAAACGGTGAAGATTTTCAGCAGCTCCTTCCAATAGGCATATCAAACGTATATCAGAAGTTTATACTAATAGACTAAAATATATCTACAAAGGGGCCAGAATGGTTTGATGCTCTCTTCGAACTCGAGAGGCTTTTTGTTCCCAGAGCTGCGTCAAAAACTAAAGTGTTTAACATGGGTAGTGACTGTTCCTTTGCCAGATCCTCAGCATTAAACGTAAAAGTCATGGATATTTTGGAGATTACCTTAAAAAAGGAGGTCCCGTCCCGCGGTAGGCGTTGGTCAACAATGAAACGCCGTGCATAAATCAAAATTTTGACACTTCACTTAAAGAGGATGATCTCTTTGTATGGGTAAAAAATCCTAAAATGGCGTAAAGCAATATTCAATTATCAATCAGATGTGACCTTTAGGAATCTAACCCCCCCCCCCTTTTGCCTTATATTTTTTAAGACAGGACTGCTGTTCTTAACTTGTAGCTAATTATGCTACCAAAAATGTGTGTTACATCCTGAAATCTGAAAAGACTGTGTCCTCTCAACACCTAGGTAACATAAAATACTTAGATTCTATATGTATGTCACACATACAGAAAAATATCAGAGTCCTTCTGAAGGGTCGAAACGAGAAATCACATTATGAAATCATCCCATCAGTAATTCCCCATCAATAAGAGTTAAATGTGTTCATATAGAAAAATAAGTTAATAACACAAATAAAAACAATTGTGCACTGTATCTTCCCACTACAACAAAAGTAGCATTTATCATTTCTAGTACTCAAAAATATGCGGTACTCTTAAGGAGTAAATGCAAAGAAGTAGCATAGATATACTAAGCGACAATTATGATTGATTGATTGATTGATTGTATGTTGTTTTACGTCCCATTCGAGAATTTTTCACTCATATAGAGACATCATCATATACCGGTGAAGGGCTTCAAATTTTGACCTTTACTCGGCAATCAGGGCTTTTGGGCAGTGAGGGATCTTTATCGTATCAACGCCTGCCGTTACACGGGACCTTAGATTTAAGGTCTCATCCGAAGGACCAGCAACTTTCAAAGAGACGAGTGCATCGCGAAGGAGCAGCTGCTACCCATTTTTTTATCGACTTAGGTCAGTCGCGGCTGAGATTCGAACTCACGACCTCCCGATTACGGAGCGAGCGCTCTACCGACTGAGCTACCGCGAACGGTAACTACAATTATGAATTATAATAATTATGATAAATAACTGATATTCACACTTATAGTATATGAAAAAGTTTTTTTTTATTTATTTCTAGAAGACAGTTCAGTGAGACTTGTCTTCATGTGTAATTTTATTACATCCAGTCTTTCCTGTCCTTTGATTTTAGATTTTTTTAGTAAAAGATCGAGATTTTTCGAGAGAATATGCATGGCTTAAATTTATTCTTGTTAAATAAACAGAAATATGTTCTCTAACTGAAAATTTATAATCTGAAATAATCTACATAAATTGATAGCCTTCATTGAGAGTATTTAGCTTTTCCTGCAAATATCGTAAAAATGAAGCGAAAAGTTTTTATTTACATGTCATAACCACCTTTTATTAAGTTCATAATCTAGTAGTCACTTTTTATGTTTTTAAAATGTTTACATGCAAATTTTGGTGTTGGTTAAAGGTGGTTATGACATGTGTAGGAGTTGTCAAATACACCCCCCCCCCCCTCCTGATTTTCCCATTACCCTAATGCTAATACGGACCGACAGTACATTACTTTGTGAACCTATATGATAAAAAAAACTACAACATCATTAACAAGTCAACATTTACCATAATATTGGGCCATTAGCCTACTGATTCATGCAGTTTTAAGGGGAAAAGTACTACTTGAAAATTTGAAGTCATTGTAGGCAGCAAAAAAGGACTTATAGAGAATGATCCTTTTGCCTCCCCATATAAATTTGTAGAGATTTTTTTCTTCAAATTGCTGTATCAACTGCAAACTTGGCATTGGAAGAGAAATGAATAAATGGGTAGACTTTGAAAAGAACAAACTTTTTACTGTTGTTTTATTTTCCAAAGGAGTAATTATTACTTTAAAACCAATAGTTCATTTCCTTCTGAATGAGTTTCATCTTTTGGTTAGCATTAATTTCTTCCACTTTTTCAAGATTTGTAGAA